GACACGAAATGTTTTATAAATATCAACTATTATTACAGTTGTTATAATTAATTGTATGTGTTTTATGTGTCAAGGACTGCGCTAGTTTCTTCATTTGCACATTTACTTCTATTCTAGAATATTTTCTGGTAAGCCATAATCCGATTTTCACAGTGACTGACATGCATTAGCTGCTCATTGAATAGTTTTCAATAAATGATTCAATCATACATGATGTCGATAGTTTTATATCTTTTCCCCAATTCTTTCCGCTTTAAAGATTGCTTTTCAAAAAGTCAGTTATAAGTTTCCTGCTATTCAAATCTTACTTCAGTAATATGAAAATGCTGCCAATAAAAGGAATCAGTTCTTTGTTCGCCGTTGAGGAAGGGGATGGAGATCAAGGTAATATTACCTGTTTTTCACATATTTGAGAATCATTGCTTAAACATGTTTTGCTTTTAGGAATCCAATGAGTTTTCACAGTATCAACTGAAAGGCTTACTTAAAAAAAACTACTTAAACCAGCACATAGAGAATGTGCAAAAAGAAATGAATCAGCAACATTCAGGGCAAATCGGAAGACAATACAAAGATGAAGGGGGATTTCTGAAGGAGGTGGAGTCAAGGAGAGTGGTCTCTGAAGACACTTCCCATTACATCTTGATAAAAGGTATCATACACCATCATGTATTTGACAATTAAAAGCCAAAAATATGGCACGTCTCTGAATTTTACAGATTATCAGCCTTGATAATATTAAGTTCTACTTAGGTAATAGTGATTTTTTTAAAGCTATCAGTGGATTAACTACTATCATGTTAACCTACTTTTAAATTATCCAAGGAATTAACTCTTAAGTTGCTCATAAAATGAAGATTTGTAATTTCATTTATCAGAACCCCAGTATTCGCTTGTCCTCCTACTAGAATACCATCACACTGCTAAACTGCATAATGTGAATTTTATTTTTAAAGGTATTCAAGCTAAGAACACTACAGAAGTAGATCCCGAGTCTCTTCCTTCTTCCAGCAAAATGCACAGCATGTCTTGTGACGTGCGCTCACCTCCGTGTGAAAAACCAAAGCCAGAGATCCAGGCTGAGGCTGCCCCTCCTTCTCCGAGAACTTTACTAGCTATGGAGGCAGCCATGCTGGGCAGTAGCTCCGAAGAGGAGCTGGAGAGTGAAGCTAAAAGGCAGTACAGTGAGGAGAAGGCGTCCATTACTATAGATGAAGGCGCTGTCTCACCGAGGACGCTCTCAGCTATTCAGAAAGCTCTTGCCGATGATGAAGAAGTTACAGTAAATACTGCAGATGATGTGCAGATGGGAAGGCTGGGAGTGAAAGGACTGCCCACGAACAATTCAGATGAGGAAAATGCTGAAGGACTTCGGCTTCGAGAGGGTGGGGAAGGAAGGTTGTGCAGAACCATGGCTCCCTCCACCAGTGGGAACTTTGTAGAGGAGAGTGTAGCCAGCACGAATAATGAAAAAGAGGTGTCTGCCTCCCCTCATTTATCAAGCTTGCTCTTATGTCAAGGCAGTGCTTCTAGTGCTCAGAAAGAACAAACAGCATATACTCACACAGCGAGTGATGTCTTTCAGACCAGTATTGAATCTGCGGTCAAGAGTAGAAAAGATCCCATTGCTTTAGAGAGTCCGGAGGGGCCGCACAGTGACGCGCATGGACTCCAGAACAGAAAGGAACAGGTTCCAACCTCGTCAAGATTTTTAGGGTCACAGACTGAATCAGATCCCAAAGTTCTTGAGCTGCAAAATGATC